CTACACCCTCTGAAAGACACATATAACAGACACATATGAACTCACTTTTACACCTATAAATGTGCCCACATACACACAGATACATGCACCCATAAAATTTACTTAAGCATACAAAGTCGTTAAAGGGTTACTCGAACCACCATGACCACTTCAGTGATTTGAAGTGCTCATGGGGTTAGGATCCTGAATGTGCAAGGTTTCTGCTTGAAATAGTGCACATTTAGAGTGTTTTGCAACCAAAGGGTTGTCATTCTCCCATAAGGGATTGGCCCAAGTCAATGCCTTATCGATTAATAAGGAATGATGAGTCCTATTTTGGCTCAATCAGTGAGATAGGCTCTGGGTTGTAATTCAAAATGTATGCTTATCTGTTTTAAAAAGCCAAAACAATTATCAGGTGCTCCACCATAACGTAATGGTGAAGTTACATGCGAAGTGGAACCATACTTTTGTTAATTCTAACCCAGTAGTTACAGGATTAACTGGAGACCATTGCCCTTCTCATTTCAGAGTTAATGGATGTGACATCAATGTCTGCAAGGCAAGGACAAATTGGTCCATATGATGGCCCATTCCCTCAAAACTATTATCATAAGATGCCCCCTGAAGTCTTACACCTGCAGGATCTATAATAATAGAAACAGAGAATGTGACGGCAGATAAGAACCATTAGGCCCATCTAGTCTGCCTAATTTTCTGGATACTTTCATTAGTCCCTGGCCTTATCTTATATATAGGATAGCCTTACGCCTATCCCATGCATGCTTAAAATCCTTCACTGTGTTAACATCTACCACTTCATCTGAAAGTCTATTCTATGCATCCACTACCCTCTCAGTAAAGTAATACTTCCTGATATTATTTGTAAACCTTTGCACCTCTAATTTAAGACCTTGTCCTCTTGTTGTGGTAGTTTTCCTTCTTTTAAATATAGTCTCCTCCTTAACTATGTTGATTCCCTTTATGTATTTAAATGTTTCTATCATATCCCTAGTGTCTTGTCTTTACTCCAAGCCATACATGTTAAGATCCTTTAACCTTTCCTTATATCCTTCTTGAGATAGGGTCTCCAGTACTGCGTACAATACTCCAAATGAGGTCTCACCAGTGTTCTGTACAATGGCATGAGCACTTCCCTCTTTCTATTGCTAATACCTCTCCCTATACAACCAAGCATTCTGCTAGCATGTCCAGCTGCTCTATTACATGGTCTGCCTACCTTTAAGTCATCTGAAATAATTACCCCTAAATCCCTTTCCTCAGATGTTGAGGTCAGGACTCTATCAAATATTATGTACTCTGCCCTTGGGTTTTTACGTGCACAATGCATTATCTTGCACTTATCCACATTAAGTGTCAGCTGCCACAACTCTGACCATTTTTCTAGTTTACCTAAATAATTTGCCATTTGGCTTAATCATCCTGGAACATCAACTCTGTTACATATCTTAGTATCATCAGCAAAAAGACATAGCATCAAGACCTTCTGCAATATCACTAATACAAATATTAAAGAGAATGGGTCCAAGTACAGATCCCTGAGGTACCCCACTGGTGACATGACCATGCATCGAATATACTTCATTGACTACAACCCTCTGTTACATGATACTCAGCCACTGCCTTACCTAATCAACAATATTGGAATATTGGAATCCAAACTTAAAAATTGCAGTTGATTGATAAGCCTTCATGTGCAACAGTGTCAAAAGCCTTACTGAAATCTAGGTAAGCAATGTCTATTGCACCACCTTGATCTATTATTTTAGTTACCCAATCAATAAAATCAATAAGTTTAGTTTGGCATGATCTCCCTGAAGTAAACCCATGCTGTCTCTGATCTTGAAATCCATGTAATTTTAGATGTTCAACAATCCTATCCTTTAACATGGTTTCCATTACTTTCCTCACTACTGAAGTAAGGCTTATTGGCCTATAATTGCCCGACTCCTCCCTACTACCTTTCTTGTGAATGGGCACAACTTCCAATCTTAAAGCCCTGTTGTAATGTCATAAATTTCACAATTTCTGATTGACCCAACATGCAAAGTGTAAAAGAGAATAGATGTAAGTAAACACATACCGGTCCTTAGAGTGGTTGGGCTTTACATTTGTTGCATAGAGAATGGTCAGGAACAAGCTGAGTCAGGGAAACCAGAAATCAGGACAGCAAGGAACAATAGCCAAGTCAGGGATTACAGAATGGAGAATAGTAAGAATAGTCAAGATCATTACACCAATAAACTAACCTTTTTATAGTCTTTTTCTTTAATTACATAGCCATGCCCCCCAAATGCTCAAATGTGTCACGTCATAAAACGGGGTGGGGCTTCAGTGCACAGCGTTGGAACCACTGAGAATGTGAAAGAGACTGTGGGAAGGTTTCGTCTTCACCTCATGGGCATTCCCAGGCTGTGTCAGAGCCCAGGCAACAAAAGGTAACGTGACAATGATTTGTTTAACTCAGCTGAGCTAAACTCAAAAGGCTCAGAGCACCTGCCTAAGCACTCATCATTGAGCTGCATTGGGAAATCTATAATTGAACAGACACATAAAGGGTGTAGAATCACCCTCAAAAAACAATTCACAATGAAATTTTTTATTAGAGTATACAAATTAAATTTGTTTATGTATTTATTGTATTTGGGCAGTGGAGTGTAATTTTTGAAATTCTTTTTGAGCTCTCACTTTAGCCCACAACAATGTAAGTGATACAATTTCACTGATGGAGTTAATGGTTAATAGTCGTTATTATTAACAGTTGCTCCACTCAACTGCCCAGCTTTCTCTCTAAAATCCATCATATAAGGAATGAAGAAATGGTGCAATAGTATAGAGTAGACTATCGCCTAAAAAGCAGTAGTCAATTAGTCATATAGTGAGAATATATAGAAAATTGCATCTCTCATGGACCACAGCAGCTCATGCAATCCATGGTTCCAGGCAGTGAAAGCAGTAAATAGAAAGGGAGTAAATATCAAAAGGTGGATAAAATAACATTAAACCAATGGCACCAATGGAAGCATGGCCCCCTCCCTGCCTGCCACTGAAATCCTCCTATACTTCATTAATGACAAATGACATCCCCAGAGGAGGATCGGACTGCAGGGAGAACTTGTATTTGATATGGGACCACAGGTTCTTTCTTTCTTTCTCCATGATAATTAGTCTTACTTCAAACAAAAACAGTTATAATAAAACAGTGTTTTTGGTTGGAAAAACCTTTTAAGATTTTTGGCATCTGGAATGTACTGTTTACTTTGTTAGTGACTTTGTCCTTAGAAACGACAAGGGGATTTAGCAAGATTTATATAAAATAAACATAAAGATTGTATTAATTAATTAGCATTTTTACTGATTTTTTGGTGTGCAAACATTTACAAAAAGTTTTACAAAATATTTTCATCTAAAAAAACACTGAATCCATCCTTTTCTTACTAAGGGCACCATAATAACAACCTATTCTCATAGAATCAAATCCAAACTGATGTTGCTATCTAGAAAAATATATATTCTTTTATAAACATAATTGCTCTATTGGGCATTATTCTCCTCATCTCCGTATTATTCACGCTCCCCTCCTTTCCTGGAATCATGTACCAGATTTAGCTCCTGGTGCCGCATTTCATGCTCCTGCATGACATCAGCAGCGTGAGGTCCAACCAAAGGTTTCTCAAAGAGAAGCCTTTAATTGGACCACTTAACCAGTTCAGAATACATGTACTTACACTGAGCAGACAAAGAGGGATGGAGGAGGGAAATATTCCCTTGCATTAAGCTTCCTCTTGCAGGTGTAAGTGCATTGCCAGAGTGCTCTGAGCGTAGATGACGGACATATTTTATACACAGAGCTGACATTCACATGTGCCAGGCGTGCAACTAGCCCACGCCTGGCACATGTGAATGTCAGCTCTGTACACCATTGTACGCCATTATTCAAGCTGAAACACTCTGTGTACTTACTCCTACCACCATGACTACTTCAAATCACTGAAGTGGTCATCGTGATTATAGTAAGCCTTCCTGTCCTTTGCACAGGCTACTCATAAATCAGAGTATTGAGTCTATTCAATATAAGGTATAAAGACTAATTGTAAATCACTGCTTAAAACTAGTCCTTTGATAACTGCAATTCCAAACACTGCTAAGCAGCCCTTTCTGAATAAATAATGTTGTACAGACAATATTGTTCAAGAAAGCATATGATGCCAATTTCTCTGTAGCCACTAGATGGCAGGGAGGTGCTGTTTCACATATAATATCAAGCATTCACTGAACCTTTATAGTGTCCAACTACAAAAATTACTGCACACATAAAAAAAAAACATGACTAATATAACATATCAACTTTGACACTAGGTTTATATTAAACTGAATGAGTCCCATTTTAATAGTAAATCTGAAATCTTCCTTTTGTGTTTATAAATCAATATTCTGTACAGTGCATTTTATATTTCAAATGGAGGGGTTGAAAAGTAGGTGGAGTCTCTGCAAGGTTTAAGCCAGTGACACTGAACGAAACAACACATTGTGAAATCTGCATTGGTATATGGTATCTTCATAACCATTTCTGCTGCATGAGAATGGCCTGTTACACATGTTGTCTAATATTGACTCTGTTTTGTTTCTTATGGAGTAAGTACATTATTATTGTTATCATTATTGATCAAACAGCACATTCAGAAGTGTTATGCCTTTTCAGTAGTCATAGTATGTGCTACTTGTATTATATTGTTGCATGTTTTTGCATATTTTAAAGTTCATTTAATCATATACTTAATGTTGTTGTTTTTTCATAGTCATAATAGACAATGTATAGAGAGATGACATAGAAATGAGAGATCACTTGTTCTCCTTGTCATATACAAGAATTAATACATTGCATTTAGAAATTTGAAAATAAACAACAGTAGGCATTATCATTATTGATAATAAAATGTAAAACGTTTAAATATAATAATCTGGCTATTATTTTTCATCTACAGGTCCTATTGTGGGAAATTCAATTGTATCTGAGAGTTCATTAGTGTCTAAGGAGCTTGAACAGAATGTAACATTAAGATGCAGTTATTCCACCACAAGCAACACTCCATATCTTTACTGGTACCGTCAATATCCAAATGAAATTCAGTATCTCCTACATAGGGGAGCCAGGAATTACAAAAACTTTAAGTATTATGGGAAATTTCCATCTGGGAAATTTCATACAGAGACAAGTGAAACGCATACTGATTTAATCATCACTGGCCTGACAGTGGAAGATTCTGCCTTGTACTTGTGTGCTTTCAGTGATGGTGCACAGTGACACTTGAACATAGGAACTTCATGTAAAAATATCACTCTGCACACTGTGTTTGGGTCCAGTAGGTGGAGCAGTCTTTCTGTTTTCTATTTGTAAGTTTATCTACAAGAATTGTAAAATCTTTTTATGCAAAGCTCCAAGAAAATGTTGGCTACTAAATTTCACATTCATATTAAAACATACAAACAAAAAGTGTTTAACAGAAAAATGCATTGTTCAGATTATTTAAATGTATTTCCCCTATTGTATTTCCATGTACATGCTTTTAAGGTGCTATGAGAAAATGCTGTACCAGTATTATCATATAGAACAGTCATTTTGATGTTTTATGTAACATTATATAAAACTTAATAGAAATTGTCAAATGGAAAAAATATGTGAATCTGTGGGGAAAATATCACCCAAACATAGGGCATTGATAAATGTTTTTGCTTTTCCTTTTAAAAAAAAAAAAGAAAAAAAAAAAAGGTAATCTGTGGGAAATATATCAACCAAACGTTTTCCCTTTTTAACCCCCCCACCACCCCTTCCCGGCTTATACTATTTCTTAATGTCACATCAATACACATTTTCAAAGCCACGATTACTTATGGACAGTCTTACATTGTAACTGATGCTCTAAAATTTGTCATGCTATTTTCATATTCTTTGTAAAAACCTACACAAAACCATAAATCCAAGAGGCATGGCTTTGTTATCCACAAGGATTGAAAATGATGAGGGCATTGAAATATATGAATTTCTTTTTCTTTTATAACCCTCCCATGTAAACTATCTCAGATTGCCATATCTTTTCGCCTTTTAAGCCAGAAACCATTTAATTTCTGTTGATATCCTTTTGACTATAAACCAATTACATTCATCTACATTGAATATTAAAGTTCACTTCATTAAATGACCAGCTCATGAAATACATTTTTCTCTTCAGAGCTTGTCCAAACAAAGGTCTCTGTGAAAGCGTATATTTTCTATCCTCATGGAAAGTTTCAGAAGAAAAGATTCCATATTTCACCTTTTTCACATCAAATCCAACAATAAAACCTGTGAAATATTTAAAAGCCACAACAATAATGGGATGGACAAGATGTCAGGTCACAAAATTTCTGATTAGTTGCTTAAGGATTTTCTAAACCACTATCAAGGATGCTAGATTTAACTGATAAAGCTGACTTGTTTTGAAGAAGAGAACGGTCTCTATTTTCAGCAAGTGCTCATTGAAGGTTTCAAGGTGGTGTTGCTGGATTGTGCTAAGAATACAATGAGTGAGTTTTTGTTGGTGCCAATAGATTATTTTTAAGTCTGTATATTTGCATGTATATATATATATATATATATATATATATATATATGTTTGATTGGTTTTGATTTGTTGAACTAGTAATAAAGAGGGCATTAATCTGTCACTCAGCTCTCAACTTGACTAGGGCATTTGTTTTTTGAAGAATCAGTATTCGGACGAAAAACAGACAATTTGCCAAATTCCAAATCTCTGAATGGTCAAAAGAACAAATATAGAAGGCGTGCCAAACGATAATCTTCAATGGTTAATGATATCTGCTGCATTCCTAGTTGCAAAACACATGCTTTGGGAGGGAAGAGCAGTGAGGATGGACTGAGGGAATAATAGAGGCGGCACATGTTTGTGGGGGTGGGAGGGATGTCTCCATTGGCTATCTGGTTCCAGCAAGCAGTGTGTGCTGGTGTAACATGCCAATTTTGCACAGAATTTACATTAGCCAGATTGGAACTTGGTTCTGGGCTGGCTAATGACAATGTCAGAGGTGGAGTAACACCTCCAGCAGCTAAGGAGTTAAGCTCTGTATGTGTAGCCAGTGGCGTACACACGATCCATGGAGCCCGGTGCGAAAATTGATCCATGGGCCCCCCGGCGCTTACTCTGCGCGGGCCGGGGCCACAACACATGGCAGCGGGCACCTGGACTCAATGAAGTGGTCTGGATGCCAGGTCCCTCTAGTTTTAACCCTGCAGCTGAAAACATAGCGGTTTTAGAAAAACTGCTATGTTTCGCTGAGGGTTAATCGAGCCTCTAGTAGCCGTCTCACTGACAGCCGCTAGAGGCGCTTCTGCGATTCTCACTGTGAAAATCCCAGTGAGAAGATGCTGGACGTCCATAGGAAAGCATTGAGTAATGCTTTCCTATGGGCGGTTTGAATGCGTGCGCATGCACATTCGGAGCTGAGAGGCGGATTGGGGCGGAGAGATACCCAGCGCCAAGAGAGTCCAGCATGGAGAAAGGTAAGTGCTGAAGGGGTTTTAACCACACACACACTCTCACGAACAGACGCATATACACTAGCTAACAGACACACACATTTACTGACAGACACACACTCAGTGACAGACATACATACTCACTAACAAACAGACACACATACACACTCACATACAAAACATACACTCTCACTGGCAAACACACACTCACTAACAGACACCAAGCAGACTCAGTAACAGAGAAACACTAACATACACACAAACTAACACACTCAGTAACAGACACACACACTCAGTGACAAACAAACTAACACAAACACACTGACTAGTAGACACACACTCAATAACAGACACACACAAACTAACACACTCAGTAACAGACACACACACAATAACACACTCACTGACACACACACATACACACACTAACACTACCACAAATACACACTCACATTTTTTTTTAAATTTAATCCCCCAGCCTCCCTATTTTTGGGAGTGCTGAGGGGATTCCAGATGTCCCTGGGGTCCAGTGAGGCTGCTGGGTGGCCGGTCCTGCAGACGGCAAGGGAGCACTGATCCTCCTGTTCAGCTCCCTCGCACTCCGCTTACTGATGCCGGAGCCGGAGTGACGTCATACTCCAGCTCCAGGATCACTGCGGTGCGCACGAGGGAGCTGGGCAGAGAGCGCTCAGGGGAGAATGCTCCCTCATGTGCCAGCCCACCTGCCAGCAAAGTGACACCCAGGAGAAGAGGCTGGCAAAATGTGGCCGCACTGGCGTACATACCCAGGTCACAGTGGTCGCAGGCCCGGCCGCCCCCGGGGCGACCCTGGTATGTACGCCAGTGTGTAGCGTTTCATAGCAAAATGAGTAAAGTGGTCATAGGACTTGGAATAACCCTTTAATTTAAAGTTTTTTTTATATAAATATGTACATGGATTTCAGATTATAGAATTTACTAGATAACAAAAAAAGGAAACAAAAAAATAGTGTAACACAATTTAACCACTTAAGGACCACATGACGGTCTATGCTGTCATACAGTGCAGTGTTTTAATGCCTGTTAACAGCATAGACTGTCATGCAGTAAAAGTACCAGCATAGTTAAATCCCTGCTGGTACCCTGATATCATTGGGTACCTAAGGGTCCCCTCTTTCAGCTAGACCACAATTGTGGGGTATGATTATAATCAAGAACAATAGCAGAATAAACATATGAGTCATGCATGGTCTGTGAATGTTCTAAAAATAAAACGTGTGAAAAAAGAAAACAATTCAAAACTTAATATTTCAACCTTAGGTTTGTGATAAAATGAATGCACGAAAAGTTTAAAAATGATCTTAGTTGCCCTAGCATGTGGGATATACTTTCTACAAATATAAACTTTTGTGTAGCAGTATTGGATTTTGTGACTACTTCAAAGGTAGTAATGTTCGCATTTCAAACTTTGCAAAGCTTTAGCTTTAAAACCATAAAATCACTTCAGTATTTGCTTTATAAGTTCTAAAATTAATGGAAATCCTAGATATATTGGACATCTTAACAATAAGGACTAAATAGTGAATCTTTTTCAAGTTAGATTTCTTTAGTTGCACTTGGAGTGGAAAAAATAATAAAGGGACACTACATTTCAGAGAAATGTCAGTGTTTACATTGCTGGCAAGTAACACCTTTAGTCAGGGCCAGATTAAGAGCCCCGTAGGCCTGGTGCTGACAGTTATGATGGGGCCTAATTACAGAATCTTATCAACCAAAAACACTAAAACAATCATACCACCCAAGCTTCATGTATCTGATGGAGATGGTGTTGGAGGGAAACTCAAAGGATTCAGCTATAAGAAAACCCATACTCTATGCTAACCTCCCTCTAATTTATGCTTTCATCTTTCAAGTAAATCCATACCCCGTAACTAGCAGTGTCTAGTGAAGCAGGAAGACAGTGGGCGGGGTAAAAGGGTGGGCCACTGACCCAAATCACATGACCAGAACTGCCAAAAAGGGCGAACATGCCCAAAAAGGGGGCATGTCTGTCCAAAGAATTGGAAGGCCGGCCTGGTATCAGTGTCCCTATATATCACAGTGTCAGTGTCCCCATGTCGCCCAGTCCCTTAGTCTCCCAGTGTCCCCTTGTCTCCCAGTGTCTGTGTCCCCATTTCTTTCAGTGTCTCCATGTCTCACTGTGTCCCGTGTCACTAGGATACTAGGGGACACTGAGAGACATGGGGACACTGAGAAACATGGGGGCACTGAGACACTTGGGGACACTGGGAGACATGGGGGCATTTGTGGATACAGACATGGGGACACTGGGAGACATGGGGACACAGACATTTGGGGACACTGGGAGAAATGGGGTCACAGACACTAGGGACACAGATACATAGGGACACAGACACTGGGAGACATGGGGACACAGACATTTGGTGAAACTAAGACACTAGGGACACAGAGACATGGGAACACAGACACTGGGAGACTAGGGGGCACTGGGAGACACGGGGACACAGACACTAGGGACTGGCTGGGAGGCATGGGGCCACAGACATGTGGGGACACTAGGAGACATGGGAGCACTTGTGGACATATACATGGGGACACTAGGGGCACAGAGACATGGGGACACAGACACTGGGAGACATGGGGACACTGAGACACTAGGGACACTGGCTGAGAGACATGGGGACCCTAGGAGACATGGGGACACTGAGACACTGGCTGCGAGACATGTGGACACTGGGAGACATGGGAATACAGACATTTGGGGACACTCTGAGACATGGGGACACTTAGAGACTAGGGGACACTGACACTAGGGGCTGGCTGGGAGGCATGAGGACACAGACACGTGGGGACACTGGGAGACATGGGAGCACTTGTGGACATAGACATGGGAACACTGGGAGACATGGGGACACTAAGAGACATAGGGACACAGACACTGGGAGACTAGGGGACACTGGGAGCCATAGGGACACTGGCTGGAAGACATGGGGACACTGTGTCCCTAGTGTTTCTGTGTCCCAATGTGTCTCCCTATGTCTCACAACATGTCTCCCAGTGTCCCCTAGTGTCTCAGTGTCCCCATGTGTCCCCTAGTGTCTCAGTGACCCCATATCTCTCTGCTGCCTTTCCCCCCATCCCTCACTTACCTGAACTGTAGTCTGTCTCTGCAGGCTGGAAGCTGCTGTTTGGACTCTCTGTGCTGTGTAGCTGCTCCCCCGAGGATCAGTGAGTAGAGAGAGGCAGGTAGATGCTGTAACTTCCTATCCCTGCATCTCTCCATACACAGTGACCCCTACTGGCCGGTGCTGGTATTGCAGAGTAATCTCAATTTATACTGCGATAAATATCTGCATTTGTATTGCCGGTATCACTGCAATACCGTCACGGCCAGGCAGCCTCAAATACTGGCTGTGCCTTAAAATACCAGTCAGGTGGCAAACCTAAGAGTAGTGTGTAAAAAAAAAAAAAAGAAAGTTTTTTTTTTTTTGGTTTTTTTAAATGGGCCTATTCCATGGGCCTGGAGCTGCAGCTCCATCAGCCCCTATGTTAATCTGGCCCTGCCTCTAGTGACAGTCACTCTGACAACGTATAACGTATATTACCTCCTTATGTCAAGCCCCCCCAACCCTATTATGTGGCGCAGAAGTGGTTAAAAACCTGTTCTGTGACTTACCTGAATTCAGTGCCGATGTCCCTAGGTACTTGTTCATGCTCCACAGCGGATGGGGGAGACCTAATGTTCATGTGCAACAGTAGCTGCGCTCGCAT